TAAAACGCTCATACAAGAAGGCGTCATCTCAATGTTCAGCTCAGTCACTTCCAGTGTCTAAATGTTATCATACGTATGCAAAAAAACCATTCGACGAAGGACAAAAACCAAGAAAATGCGATTTCCGGAAGTGGCGTGCGTGTCGCACGCGGTCGCGCCATCGTCATGATTTTTCAAATGTCCTATACTCATTGCATTGCCACAAAGTACGTTAAAACATTTTATACCAAAGACTCACTCAATCTCATTTCTTTCGAGGAGTGGTGGTTTATCGCGCGGACTGGGTTTTCACATGGCTGAAAGTTTCGAACAATAGAGAGAGCGGATGGGTTAAAAATGGGCTATTACTTTTCGCGCACAGATTGAACTCTCCAAACAATGTTTGCCCGCTTACAGTACGCTTACCGTAATCGCTCAAAGACACCAGTGTATGGGACATAGAGACTGTCCGTGATCAACTCCCGAATAACCCCAGAGGTCAAAGTTCCTATCAGTTTTGTGGTTTTCTCAATTCTACCGTATAGCTACCGTGACTCCGCTATATAGCCCGCAGCCAGAAATGCATACCATATTTTTTGACCAGCTCCCCGAATAACCCCAGTGTACCAAGTTTCTCCCAATGTTGTGATTTTCTCCTGTCTACCGTAAACCTACTGTAATTCTCAAATGCCGCTGCAGTATTAATTGCATGCCAAATTCGTGATCAACGCCCCGAATAACCCCCTGGGCCAAGATTTTACAACATTTTAAAACTTTATTCATTGCGCACTTCGATACCCCATCATGTCTGCTGAAACTACGAGCAAAATGTACTCTGGAGGGGTTTTTAGTTGTGCTCCTCTTCTTTTGTGCATTGTTTCACCTTCTCTGACGAAACTCAGAGTTATCTCTGTGTTCCACGATAGACTGGAACTGGCACCAAACTCAGAGATATCGCAGAGCCGGTTCGATAGTGCTGTTTCAAGTGCAGAGCGATTTGATATTGCACTACTAAGAATAAACTACCAGTTACGGACTTTTCTGCCATATCATCGAGATCCAGATTCGGTCTGTTCGAGCACCCGTTAAAGGCAGTGTCCGGGCAGAAACTCGACTTCTAAAAAATCAACTTATCTGGGGTTATCCGCAACGCTGAATCCGAAAATCCACATCAGAAGGCGCGAAAACGGCGAGAACATGCATTTTCCAAGTCCTCACATTTCGAAATTTGGGGATCCCCGCCAGGCTAAGACGCAGAGGTTGCAAAGAGCGCACAGTTTTTAACTGTGGCGGCATATGTACTCTGCCGTCTGGCAGGAATTCAAACAACTCAAAGGACCCCGCCCCAAGGCGTAAGTTTCCCCGATTTGCAATCGTTTTTCTTGCTTTAGGTCGAACGTTTTATGCTCGCAGTTGCGCGATGTTGTGTCTCAGGGGGGCTACTTTCACATGGCAGAGAAATCTCAGAACCCCCATTTTGCCCGGACACTGCCTTTAAAGGCAGCGTCCCACCAGAGTGGGGGTACCTGGCTCTCGTAATGATGTAATAGTAGACCCCCTACCTAAGCGATACTGAAGTTCGGAGCGAAAAAGGGGGTCTACCAAGCCTGAAATTTGCTCCGAAAGTGGGCCGAATCTTACAGTAGGGCCGAACGCCGCCCACACGGCAATATCGATTTGAAGGGCCAGAGTGCGTATAGCGCACACATCATGAGCGCAGGGACCCGCAACCACTCTGCGTCTCTACCTTGCATGCACCTCGCACTCGCCCGATCCTACCGTAAGATTCGGCCTACTTTCGGAGCAAATTTCAGGCTTTGTAGACCCCCTTTTTCGCTCCGAACATCAGTCATCGCTTACGTAGGAGGTCTACTATTACATCATTACGAGAGCCAGATACCCCCAGTCTGGTGGGACACTGCCTTTAAGGGCGTCAAAAAGGTGCGCGTTACCTCACAGATATAACTCAGAGTCAACTCTGAGTCATAACTCTGGGTATCGACACGTTTACCGACCATGATTTTCCAGAATTCACCTTTCTTCTACCCCTTTTGAAAAACAGTCCCTGTTTACTTTTAGCGCACGACAATCCACGGAAACAGCACTGTCGAGAGCGCTTATTGTAATTTTTTATGCGTCATGTGCGCTGCGTTACATGTTTGCAAGAAGACATCCTTGGAAAATGAGAACACTGAATACGAAATATCGAGAACATGCTGTACTATATTAAAAGATTCGCCTTGATGAGCTAGCGCAAAGCGTCTTTCGGGTTTAGGATGTGTTCATTTCTTAGGAGGTTATGATGCTGCCTACTTCGCATGGTTCGCGGAATGTCGCCGAATTCCCGGAACGTTGCGGACTTTCGCGAAAACACCGGAATTTCGCGACATACAAGGAAAATCTGCACGTTTTCTGAACGAAACAGAGTAGAGCATAGAAGAATTCAAAAATTCTTCGATACGAAGGCAATCGCCCTTGTACGATAGCGGGCGTGCAGACTCTAGCGATGAAAGGGATGCTCGAGCACGCCGTTCGCGCCGCTTCGCACTTTAAACTGACCGCCTTCGTGGATCTGCATCTTGTATGTCCATACGCAGGAATATATGGAGAAAACAGAAGTGTTCGCCTCATCTTTGAGACTCCTGTTGACAGAAGTCAGACAGCCCGCAGGGAAAGGCATGAGAAACTTGACTGATAGTGACTGAGTATTGATTCTAACGGTAACTTCGACTCAATCCGTCCACAATTTCTAAAATTATCAGTTTTCTTTGAAAGAGCAAGTTTTCCAAAAAGACAGTGGCATGTGCATGTGAACAACAATTAGTTGGTAGATCCCTCGCTGCATATGAACTGCAGCGAGGCATCAATCAACTGCACCCAGCATTAGAACCGAAAAAGCGTAGTACTTATATTGAGAGATAGGGTGATAAGAACCGCATATTATTTTCTACAATACTTTCTTACCACATACCAAAAATAATCCAAATTTGTGGTACCATCAGCGATAAAAAAAGTAACAATATACATGATAAGGGTGGATGAAAAGACTCAATTTTTTTTTCAAAAGTTTTCGACAGTGAAAACATGAATCAAAGCCTATCATTCGCAGTTTACACTCAGATACAACTTCACAAAAGCTCATAGAAAATAGCAAAGCATCATCATATATCTATCACCAGGGATCACGAACATAATGTATACCAAAAGATTCGTCTCATCAAGCTGAAACTAAATCTTCTGGCAACATTCAAATAAATTTGTTCCAGAAGAAGTTTTAGCTAAATCCCTGAAGTCCTGCAAATCCCGCGATTCTCGCGAATCCCGAACATCCAGCAGTTTAGACGTTTCCATGATTACAACGGTAGTGTTAAAGAGTGCTTATCTTGACTTTGCAGCTTTTCGCTCTTCTGAAATCTTTTTATTCTCAGGATTATCCATTTAAGCGCTATATATTTAGCTGCAGTAAGCGTGAATAGCTCGCATCTTCTCACACAACTATACTTACTCATTTTACCCATCAAATCTACTTCGAAGCCAATGATACCGGATAATGCCGCATTTTATTTCAAAGGGACTGAAATGGGTGAACGAATAAATTGGGTAGATACGATGGTTGCAATAACTTGAAAAGGCTAGCAATACACTCGTGAACTGTCATAACTGTGTACATACCTCGATTTCGGGTTAGAGGCAGCGGCTCGGCAGAATAGACTACCTCAGAATTTGACATAGATGGATAGGAGGCCCTCCAAGTGAGCCAAAAGAACAACTCCGGGCCAAAATGTGAATTGTGCAAGCCAAGGGGCGAGCCAAGCTCCGCTCCACTTCCTCCTTTCGCTCCCCTAACACCTTATGCGGGCAGTATGTTCTCCGCTAGAAAACGCGCCGTCACTCGTAGCTTCGTAAGGCAGAATTGTTCTAGCGCTCTCTACCTCCCTACTCTGCGTCTCTGACGGCAGAGAAAGACGGCCCACTCGTCCGCGTCCGTCTCAAGGGGGTTTCAAAAGACGGGGTTTTCCCCACTTTCGCGCTGAGGGGAGTTCATGTCGTGATTCAGGGGACCGGAATAGCCCCAAATATGGCAGAACCCGAAGTCGAAAATCTGCCGAGCCGCTGCCTTTAATCGAGATGACGGAGGGGGTCATGAATTTAATTTCAGAATTTGGCATCTTTTTACGCGTTACTGTAAAGAGGTTTGCAGTGAACTTTTACAACCTCGGCTAATAATCAAGATCGGTCATTTCGATAGATTGCTGAGTCTCTAAGGCTTTGGCCATACTTTGCCCGTGTTGCCGGTGTTGAAAGTGTTGCCGGTGTTGAAAGTGTTGAAAGTGTTAAAAGTGTTGCCGGTGTTGAAAGTGTTGAAAGTGTTGCCGGTGTTGAAAGTGTTGAACGGAGATCATCAGTCTAGCAGTTTCATTCTTTCTCGAACGATCTCACCGGCTGGTGAATACGTTGGAAATGGAATTGGAGAATGAGAAATGAAATTGAAATGATGGGAGATTTTCGCATGCAAAAGATCCTCTAACAAACTTTTTGGAAAGTGGACGGCTTGTCTGGAATAGGCAATCTCCAATATTTGAAAAAGCTGAAGTCTGAGTAGTAATGTGTTTTAGTTCGAATCCTGCCGCGCTTGCGATTAGTGAGTGAAGGATCTAAGTGAGGTCTGCAGCGTTTTCAAATACTGGAGATTGCCTATTCCAGACAAGCCGTCCACTTTCCAAAAAGTTTGTTAGAGGATCTTTTGCATGCGAAAATCTCCCATCATTTCAATTTCATTTCTCATTCCCCAATTCCATTTCCAACGTATTCACCAGCCGGTGAGATCGTTCGAGAAAGAATGAAACTGGTAGACTGATGATCTCCGTTCAACACTTTCAACACCGGCAACACTTTCAACACTTTCAACACCGGCAACACTTTTAACACTTTCAACACTTTCAACACCGGCAACACTTTCAACACCGGCAACACGGGTGAAGTATGGCCAAAGCCTAATACGTTTCATTTAACTCGTTGAATACTAACCATCCGGTTCAATGTGCGAAGATTGGATTGCAATCGAAAGATCGGAGTGTAATGAACAAGCAGAGCAGTAAGTGGTAAGCTGGGATTTTTGATATAGCTCGTCACCTAACTTCTAGGAAGGATGTTATATATAGCTGGATGTACTCTCCATCAGGTCGCTATGCAATCGACTTTGATTATAAGGTGAGTTCCAAAAGTTTATTACTATGCACTCTCTCAGAAGTGCGACGACACAACACAATTCGTTTTTTCTAATGGTTCTACACTTACACTCTTCCTTCAGAAAAATTCGTTGCATGTTGAACTCAAAGAATTTTCAGTCTCTTTCCAAAGGCAAAGCATTTAAACTTGAAATCAAGGGGATTTTAGAAAAGCAAAGAAATCTTGCCGAATATTGATACAAATTGCTGTGAGAGTTCATGAAGGGCTTGAGGGCTTGACTCTGGTTTCGAAAATGAGCAGAATGACTCCAAATGATTGCTCTTCCTGCATTGTAGAATTGGAACTGCTTCTCCAAAACCTACTTCAGGCACGGTTAATTTTTTGGACATTTTGGTGCAGACAGATTTGTTTTAGTTAGTGAAGTAAGTATGGGGGACCTAGCTCATAATCATCCTACTTAATGTAAGCACATAAGATGACATGGTGGAGAGAAGGTGGAAGGCTTTCAGATTCTGAAGAATTATTATCAACTAGTGCGTCACCTCCGCTTCGCGGAGGTTCGCACTGGCTCTCTTATCCGTATGCCTTTCTCATGTTCGCACAAAGATGGCTTTGAAACTCACCATGCGATATTAAACATCACAAATGAATTGTAAACAACTTTTCGTTTTTGAAGCATCTCCAACTAAGCCTGGTAATTTTGAGTAAGAAAACTTTTTCGCAAAGGAACACCTGCGAATTTGAATGGAATACTGAATTTGTTTTGGCTTGGTATTCGTCATAAGGATAGTAGTCACTTTAGGCTATATTTCCGTGCAAAAATCTTTTCAAATTTTTGGTAATTTTTGGGTAAGGCCTTGTCAAATCGGCTATTGACGCGATCACCACTTTTTGGCGGTACAAACTTTTTGTGTACCTTTTGGCTAGAATTCATGGGGCGCAGACTTACTTGTCAGGCAAATCATGGCTTTGCAAAAAATCCGAATTTGAACTCAGTTTTGCCGGCTTAAAGCCTTGTGGATCTGTTTGACGCACAATTTTTGTAGCATCAACGCATCGGATCCGCACGGAATTTTGCATTATGGGCCGCGATGTTGGCAAGGTGGTATGACCCAGCTCAAGACATTTGCTGGAACTCGCTTTATGAATTTCCTGACAGACAGACATTCACACGAAAACACACGTAAAAACCCTTAACCCGTCATTATGAGCAAGGTTGAGCTTGGGGTCAGGCGCGCCCGATTTGGGGGGGGGTCGTATTAAAGTAAGACTAAAGGGAGGAGGTCATAATTATGACGAATTTGTTTACAAAATGGAGGGGATGCTACGATTGAGTACGGTGAAGAAGAAGAGCGCTACACCAGTGAACATCATTAGAAGAGGGAATGGCTGTCACTGATTGCATATTGGTCAACCCCACTAACGAAATCTCTGCCAAGGGTAAGGTCACCATAGAGGTTTGCTGTGTAAAGTGAGTAAAATTTCCGTAATCAGCATGCCAAATTAGCTAACTATACGGGCTTTGCAGACCACCACCTATCACATTTTTTAATGTTTCCTGACGTCTAAGAAGCGTAATTTTCAAACATGATTAACTTGGTCACAAAAGTAAAAGAAGTCCGCTTTCTTGTGCTCAAAACGAAGTAATACTCCTCATGGTCTATGATAGAAATTAGATCTCCGATTGTTTTCAAGAAGTGGATCAAGAAGTGCTGCGAAAATCTCAATTACCGCGCTTTCCACCTTGAGTGCTTCAACTCCACCGATTACCACAAAGCCGGAACAAATCCAAGTAAGCTCAGACACCAACGGTAGAATCTTCGAGGTTTGTGCTAGCGAACTACCTAGAACTAGGGTGGAAAAATTCTTGGTTGATAAAGTTAACCGGGTCAGGCGCAACCCCTCAAAAGCTCAGGCCGCCTGAGCTTTTGTACCCTTGCGCCTGACCCCATTAACATGTTTTCATAATTTAGAAAACGCTCCATTCCTGGTATGAACATTGAGCTCATAGCTCCTTCTTGCTACAGTGAAAATTTGGAGCCAAACACCCCATTCTTAAAGAAATTACGATCCTTGCAATAAACCCGTTCAAATCGAAATCAGCCGTCGAATTACGTGTGATTGTAAAGTGCAGTAACAGAAAATCGGGCGTACAGACTTCAAAAATCCAAGAACTTTAGAAAAGGATGGTGTCCTCCAGAGTGTCGCTCTCTGAGATTCCGGAGGTGAAAAGGAGGAAGGAGGGGTCGTTTGGGGCTTTCAGAGGGGGGGGGGGGTCGTTTTCGGAAGACTTGTGCCTGACCTCTTGCTCAGCTCTGATTATAAGTCATGATAATACAGGGCTCGGCAATAACTGGCAGCAGAAGTTGAACAAAGGTCGTTCTCCAGAATAGGTTTTCGGGACGACAAAGGGGTGGTTTGGAAAAAAACATTGACTAAGACCTACGCGAATCCATGTCTAAACTGACTTTGCATCCGTAATTTCTTTCATACTGGTATTCGCACATAATGATATAGAGAGAACTGGCACCGGTATATCGTGAAAAACGTCGTGTACACTAATGAAAGGGGAAGCCACCAAAGACCAGGTCTTTAGTTCGACAAGGCTGCAGAAAGGTTAATAAAAACTCATGGAAGCATTTGCAAACATACTGGCAGCGAGTTGCAAGCGATTACGCCGAGAAAAGACAGCTGTAGATCAGATGAACTACGCATAAGTCGGTTTCCTTTCTAGTAAATGGCGAAACATTGAAACATAATGTTTCTAGAATACGGGATCATTGAAAACAAAACTGCAAAAATTTTACAGGAATGGTAGCATACGTGCACCAATGCTGAGCACCGCGCCACCGTTCAGAATTCTTCAAGAGGCCGTAGCTAAGGCGGGGGAGGGGTTAAAAAAGATTTGTTTCCTTGGAACAGGATAGGTGATGTAGATTGGAGTTTAGAAACAGCAAAAAATTCATGTCAGGAAGAGAAAAATTTATGGCTTTAGTTTGCCAGGTGGCATGAGGTTACCTAACCTGAAAAGCTTGCCACTCTTTCAGTTCACATAATTTGTTACGATTCTTCATCCCAACTCGTAATGTGCACATACAAACCAAACTTGATGTTAAATTGCTTCAGTTCTCCGTACGCAAGCCTTTTGATTATTTCAGGGCACAATCTAACTACCGCTCTTGCACGAAAAGCACATTTGAATTTTGCAGAAAGGGCAACGGCTAATCTTCGTCTACAGACGTTCTACAGAGTAAAGAGGTAGAGCAAAGAGGGAGGGGGTGAAAATGGGGAAGTGTCTAGGTATGTCTCACGTGACAATAAAGGGGATAACTTTTGTGGGGAGGGGATAAGGGAGAGGGATAACGCGAAACCTTGTTGTTTTGATGAGCCAGCCCCTCAAGCAATCTTTTGCAAGTTTATTTATTTCTGCTGGTTTTTAAAGCAGTTTCCAATGACCTCGCAAAACATTACTTACTCGCCTTTTACCCCGAAACGATCAACCTAACCTTGCGCCATCTATGCGAAGCCCTGAATAACTATCTAATGGCAATTACAAAAAAAAACTCAAACTGGATTATATTGGATTTTTTCCCCACGCACAACACCAACGGTGCGAACCCCATCATCTCGTGCAAAGGGTTTGAGAACGGGTAATTGTAGCGAATACTTTATTATGCTGGGTTTGGGTAGAAAAGTTCATTGCCAAACGTCTCTCGGTGTAAGTAGTTGCCGAACCAGTGAGACTTTGTGGATCGAAGAGAGCGAAAAGCGAGTTAACAACAGATAAGCGAATGCCTGACTGACTTAACAGAATGCGCGTCCGAATGCGCTGTTTATTGGGTAACGAACCACGTAATCGGGTAAGTTTTATTTTATGGCCACCCATTACCGTTTTTACAAGTGTTACCACTGTCATGACGTTACCAGTGTGTCACATGTTATCGCCGTTTATCGTCGACGTTCTTTCTGTTGTTACCGGTGTCTTGCGTGAATTGAAAGATAAACAGCCTTGCAGACTCAATTTTAGCTATCTCGTCAGCAATATCACCTCTTTTCATACCAAAGAGATGATAAGGGGATAGTCATCAGCGAATGGTAACGATAGCGGTAACCGACATCGCGGGTATAGTGGCGATCTGGTAACGCTGAAAACGCTGATAAACTGGTAACAACATGAATATTAACAGTGGTAATGTTTGGTCGAACCCTAAGGGTGGATTCTCAAAAAAAAAACTCCCCCACAAATGATTTAAATGTTCGTCCACAATGATTTACGAGAAGACTTCTTGGGGGCCATAGCTTTTTGTATGTTAGATGAATAAGATCTATTCATAGCTTGGTGTCCATAGCATTTTATATGTTAGATGTATAAGATCTATTCATAGCGCTGAGCTATCTATGCTTGCTCTCTGTGAGGCAATCCTTTGGGAACACGCAGACTTGTGTGCTTAAATCTGCGAGGATTGCTCTAGAGAGCTTATTGAATAAAAATAAGTATTTGCACTTATGAGTTTAGTTATAAAACTGCTTCAGTCTTTGCAAGGTGCTGAGATTCTGATTATTTTTTCGCGTCCCATATTAGCGCAAACAATAACGACACCGATTGATTACTTTCTGATAGAAACCGCCGTTTTAAGGAAATTGTACAGCAGGAGGAAGAACCAGAGACGCACTATTTTTTGTTCCGATTTTTTGTGCTAGACTTGATTGAGAAGAATTGGTGTCCTTACACGGTTAAAACGGGACCATTCAGAGTGAGTAAGCATTTCAATCTCTTTTGATTTTTCCATATAGAATTAATAAAAATCGCGAAATATACTGCAGAGATTTTACTCGTTCTATTGGCTGAGTGATAGCCACGCAGTTTTACTAGACTTTACCAAAAGAGACAGTTCTGTTCGGCAAAACGTTTTGGTACTAGATCATGTGAATAAGACAGTGACATGCAGTTTTGCAAGGTAAGCTACACTCTTTTTCACATATCATCAGGTCCGTCAGGTTTTTATTCTGAAGAAACATCGAATTTGACGTCGATTATATGTGCTACAGTAAGGACCTTACTGCTCAGCGGCTGATCCACGCAAAGGGAGGTCAGTTTGCTTCTTGAAACTACGAAAATCACTTGCACATTTTCCAGAGTTACTTCTCTTATGTGGTTTTCGCAACCCAGCAGAAGGTCTAATGTGCCGCTTAGTGCCATATTCTCCTCTAGTTGACTTCTTCTTGACCTCGGACACATTCTGCATCAAGATCGGAAGTATTATCAATTCTCTATCTCCAGGTATCAGATTTACTCAGTGGCTGTAATTTTCATGTGTTATATATGTTTATTAGACGAGCAGCTCTGTGCTGGAGGTCATCCATTTGTGTATGGATCTAAGCTCACATTCCTGTTGTTTAGCAGAGATGCTTCAAAGGTTTTCCATTACGTCAACTACACATTACAAATTGATCTAGATGCGGCAATCAACGACGCTCAGAGGGTAATATCTGCAGGTTAGAGATACTTTTACGTGCACTCTTACATCGCTGTTTTTTATAAGCTCAAAAAATAGTCGGTCTAGATAAAAGACAACAGAAATCCAAAAACTTTTGATTCAACAAATTCTATGATACGTACAAGGGAAGGATACTTGGTGACCGTAGCCTTTCAAAATGCAACGTATATCATTGAATGCATCTTGGAGCGCTGAAAAAAAATTTACGTTCGATGTTTGCTCTGCACTTTTCCGGAAGAAGTTATGAACGTTTCTTGAGAACAAAATTTGCACTATTACAATAACAGGAATCTTCATTATCATTGGAATAGTTACCCACTGCAAAAGAGCGTTCAAATAAAACTTAACGTTAAAGGCAATGTCTCACCAAAATTTGGTTGCCAAGATTTTTGCATTTTGCTAGCCTATCGGACCCTGTCTAACATAGTAGGGAAGCAACTTCAAACAGCGCGAGCTGGGCAGTTATACAATAGAGAGCCCCGCAACTGTTACGTCGAAATCTCATGGACCCCATTTTGGGTAGAAACCTTTGAAACCGCACGAAGTTCCTAAAAGCCCCGTTGTCTGGAGGCACCGCGGAAGCAACGCGGACGAGTTGTGCCTTCTATCTTCAGCTTCCGTCACAGTGCAGCAACGCAATTGAGGTGGACGCCAAGGAAGACCGGCCCGCCTCCCCTCCATATCTGGCTCAGTACGTTGCGACTCAAAGGCGAAGCGTGCACACTATACTTGTTTCAGCAAGCATGAGAGAACGGTAAGAAGCGTTTATCAACGTTTTCCTATCTTCTGTGCGTAGACTTTGTCCTAACTCCATTTAGCGAAGTAGTTAGCCAAACAAATTAGTCAGTTTGCCTCATATGATTTTGTGTCGGATGGAGGAAAAATTAACCTACTTTCATCACACTATGAATTTAACACTAAAATTTGAGCAGGCAGTAAGGTAAAAATCTCTGCAATGAAGATAGGCGTAAGTCCAAACAGACAAATTTGTCTCCTTCAATTATTCGTTTCTTATCGTTAGAAAGGATAGAACATGTATAAAAAGAACATCGCGGTCTGTTGCGGTCAAAATCACAAAGATCTTTTTTTGCGCCGTGCGGATTAGACTTACTCTATACGCCAAGAATATAAGGCTTTATGGTTGATCAGAAAAGATGTCAGTATCGTTTGCAAATTTAGAGCCAGTGAATTTACTCATGCACATGCTTGTTCAGTCAGGGGATGGCATCAGCGCTAATTCTAAATTTGTCACTAAGTTCATCAGCTTCAGTCCGGAACAGAGCTCTGATGTTAAGTAATATCAAGCCAAAGCCATGCTTCCTTGTCGCTTAATGCGATTTGAAGTGTTACCCTTCTATCAAACGGGAGTATCGCATTTACTAAGTCACGGTAATCTTTTGAATGCCGATAGAATACATTTTGAAAGACCACGAACCCATCGTTACTATTACTACCACAAACCTATCGCAAGAATTATAAAGTACACAATCTGTGGGTTTTCTGACTTACGCTCTATTGTTTGAAGATGACTAATAAAGCGATGTGGAATTGTAGATCGCTTTGAAGCTTTTAGGTCTGTTTTCTCTAACAGGATCCCGTGTTGTGCTAAATGAATCTTGGAGTTTTGTATAGCATGTGCAAGCAATTCCCCCTTAACTTAAAAGACATATGTAGATGAAAAGTACGAGATTTGACGGTATTTTAGCGTAGTGGCCTCAACAAAAGTGTCGAACACGATATATGACCATTCTCCCATGTACTGATTACGGATAATTCCTGACAACGTTCTTTTTTTCGTTACATTGGGTGTGTCTAAGGTGGTTACCTGGCATGCAATGATAGGGCTTCTTTGTGGAGTTGGTAGGTATACGGTATGAGGTCAAAATCGTAGATTTGCCTTGAACCTTGTTCTTTTTGAGCAGATGTGCCGTGCGGTGATTACAAAGCGATGAGCAATAGTAATGGGAACCAGCATGATGATGCTAAGTGTTTCTGTATATTTGCAAAGCCAGCGCAAAAGCAATCGTGAACTTCACTGATGAGCGCTCACAGCGACGCGGCCGGCTGCGCGTACTGAGCCGAATATAAAGGGAAGCGGGCCGGCCCTTGACGCCAAGGAGAAACATGTTAGAACGCGTAAGGGGGAGACCGGAGAGGTCGCCCGCGCGTACCAAATCACTATCAGCGTACCACTTCAAACGAATTTCAAGTCAGCTAGCTTTTACCGGGGGGCTCGCTGACGCCCAAAAACAGGGTCTTCATAAACTTTAGAAGACGCAAGATTCTAGAGACTGTCCTAGACTAAGCGCCTTTTCCCTTCTGCTTTGCTATGCTACAATTAATGTCTACATCGTCATGAAAGGGCTTCGGTATTTGTTTTGTTGTGTCTTGTGTTCCAGCTACATGACACTTCTTCCTTTTGTGAGTGAGGATTGGCTTTCTGTATTATTTTGTGTGTTGTTAGATTTTCTGTTCGATTTTGATTTCTTTTGTGGTGCACCAATAGTGTATACATAAAAAAAATAAAAAAATAAAAATTTCTCAGCGCAGATGGGATTAGATTGAGTACATGTTGCATTGGTTTACTCATTTATTCATTTGCCAGTGCTTCACCTCTGCTTCGCAGAGGTTCGCACTGGCATCGTGAACTGTGGTAAACTCACTTTCTGAGAGCTTGTCTCTCAAATCATTGTTCGGTTTATTGCAACGTGAGCTCTAGTTAAAAATGAATCATACCCGCTATCTTAACCTCACATGATGTTTAGTATCGTAAATCATTCCTCACTGTAATTTCGTAACGGACAAACTTCACACAACTTCAGATTAAGCCGCTTATTATAAGTCATGATGCCATGCAAGAATGGCTTTTTGCCATTTTGTGTGATCCCTGGGGATTCCCTGTGGATCCTCAGGGGATCATCTCTCATTTTCAAAGTGATTTACCTTCCTGAGAAGTCAATGAAAATGCTGCAGAATTGTAATGAGGATATACTACGGCACTGCTAAACATGTCTGTGGAAATAAGTAAAATCTCAGGATATCGAAATCTTCGATGAACTACTGCTCGCCAGCTAGGGATTATCGAAAGATTCACAATCTTCAAATTCCATTACTCCTGTCGAAAACATGCTTAGCGGTGCCGTAGTATATCCTCAGTACAATTTTGCAGCGCTTTCCCTAGGGATCATAAAAAATGGCAAGAAACCAATCTTGTATGACAGTACTGGCACCGTTATGCGCAGGTATAAGGGTATGAGAACCTTCATAAGCAAGATAAAGAAAGAAGAAAGACATCTAGAGTAGCGAGATATGATGCATCCTCTCTTATATCCCTTCCCCAGTGGGGTGTACGTGCATAGGGGCCTTAGGGCAGCATACATTAACATGCCCGCCGAGGAAGGGATTGCAGCTCAGGGGGAAAGCTTTATATCCTAAAGCTCCAGATATCTGGATTTCACGTTGTCTACCTCTCCGTAAGTATCTCTACTATCCTTCACTATCATATTGAATAGGAGCAAGAAGCTGTAAGCCGCATTTTCCAGATTTTGATACCACTGATGATCCCCAGCGTCCGACCGTCTTTTCTCCAAGGTCATTTTTCTTTCTTCAGAGTTAATGAATATATACCAAAGTTTCCTGATTATCTAACCAGACAGCACTAAACATGCTTCTGACAAGAACAAATGAAGTGTTGGAATCCTAAAATTAGCGATGGACCAAAAGTCGAAGATTAAGGTTTACCGAAAATTCGATATTTCAAAAACTCATTTGTTCTTATCAGCAACATGCTTGGGACTGTTGGATTAAACGAACAGTGCAACTGGAAGGCTTTCGTTGAGTTTGAAGAAAGAAAAATGACCTTGAAAAAACGGTCGGGCGCTGAGGATCATTCGGGGATCATACAAAAAGCTGGAAAATGCGGCTTGTACAGCTTCTGGTCTTGTTCAATGTGTTCATAGTGGAGGATGCTCGGAATACTTGACAAGTAGACAGCGTGACATCCAGATATCTGGAGCTTCAGGATACAAAGCTTTTTTAAGCTGCGATTCCCTAACCGGCAGGGATATTAATGCATGCGGCCCTTAGTGAGACACTGCCTCTAAGCTCGGGAGGACTGTTTCCTACATCCTCTGAAAAGCTTGGATACCGACAACTCTGACTTGTTGGACCTCGTGAAATTATTTGGAGAGACCGCAGATAATGAACATAGATCTGAACTCGTCGTTTTAAGGCGCATCTAATGATATATATCTTATTGGAAAAGGCCACGGTCACCAGATATAACCTTCCCTCATTAGCATTCTCAAAAGCGGCGTCTCAGCAAAACGCAAATGAGGAATTATTCACTTACCTGAGTTCATTCTTTCCGCTGAACTAAAGAATGCAGCTTTGAGGTGCGAAAATATCGGGAAACGATCTTTGACGCAGCTTGTCAAGGTTAAGACGCAGACTTGTTGCGGAACCCAACGCCATTACTGTGTGCAATATGCGCACTCTTAAAGGCAGTGGATCGGCAAAATCCAACAACTCAGGATTTTGACGCCGTAGGTTCCTTATCGCCCAAGTATGAAAAAAGTGCAATTCCGATTGCACAGCATGCTTTCCCTGCCGAGAAAATCGCTCTCGAACTTACACGCGCAAGCCATTCTTACACGCATCTGGACGAGTTGGCAATTTCCTTCTCAACATTGGAAGCTGCCCGCCGCAGCGCTGTAACCATTGGGTCCTGCAACGATTTAGCGTCATCGGCCTTGCTCCACTCGTCCAATTCCAAAGGGAAGGACATTAAAAAACGCTTATTTTCGCCATTTTCAAGCTTTCAAAAGTGGATTTTCGGGATCAGCATATTGAATAACCCCAGGAAAGCGCAAATTTGACTAGGTTGAGATTTGCCGAGCCACTGCCTTTAACCTAGATCTTTTTGCGATGCTACATAACAGTGGAAAGAAAAGAGAATGTTGCAGAACATGCGCGATTAAACACGTTCGTTTTCTCTCAAAATCCAAATTGGAAGCCAAAATTGAATTGCATTCCAAATGTTTACAATACTGCAAGATTTGTAGCCTTATGGGAAAGTGTAAGTCCACCTATTTCAAATTCTTGGACTTCACATGAGTACTTCTAGCCTCTTCGCTCCAAGAAGTATCGAGTGCAGAAAACTAAGATTTATATTCTTGATTTGAAGATGAACGTTATGAAACTTTTTTACTCGTCACTGCTTCGGTAAGTTAGGTTAATATCTGTTCATTTGAGATCTAATGCTTAGCTCTTGCATAAACAGAGGACTTTTTTCCTGTTTTATAAAACCATCGACGGTTTTATCAAATGAGGTCATACTTCCAGGAACGATTTTGTGTGTATTCATCCAAATGGCTGTATCTTTACCTTCATTCAAACAGTTTATGGTATGAAAATGAAGATGACACAACCGAACCTACTCGTAAATTCGCTAAGGAGCTTATGTCAACAAGAAATCGTCCGTCGCGCTCACTGTTTTACTGAACTCCCATCTCCTATCCTGACCTTTTTGTTTAAGAACTTATCTTATTGACCCACTGTAAAGTATGTAATCATGTTCAATCGATTTCTTGATAATTTAAGAACTACGACAACATATACTTGCACTACGATTGTTGACAGAAAAGTGTCAGAATTGTTTTGACGCACCTTTACAATCATAAAAATAGTAAAACACGAAGATGTAACGAAACTTTGTGGCAGCACAAAAATTCGACCTATCCTGCAAAAAGAGGTCTAAAAATAGTTTGTTTGGAGTTAAACGCTCTCTATCTACATTGTGCCATGCGAAATGAGAAGGTGGGAGGGGGGGGGGATATAGTTAAAAATTTACAAACCTATACCTTGTTCATAAAACTGACTTATCGGTCTGCTATTCGAATGTACGCTCGTGTATCCTTACATGACCAAAAGCTCAGAGAATGAAATTTGGCATGCTTTAGCAAAAGCAATGCTAGACTCCGACATAAGTAATACTATACTGCAATTTTTTGAAGAATAGATTTTCAGCTTCTTCAAGCGCCAAATGTCGAAATTTATCGTAACCTAGCATGTAAAATGAATAACATAACGTTGACATAAATACCTGAAAGAGGCGGCATTATCTTATTTGTGGACCATTCTTGTTTTTCAATATTCAGCCACAACGAAATTCGCCAAGCATACTTAGATAATTACGGAAAAGTCACTTAACTTAGGACTGCCTTTTGAAAAACGATACCTGTATTTGGAATCAGCTTAAGACGCTGAATCCAAATATCTTGTCGCTAGCTGCGAAGCTTTATTCTGAACAGAGTTAGGATTTTTTCCTGTGCAAAACCTGGATATCAACTTACAAAGATTACGGTGTCAACATTAAGAGGTAGTGCACATGCATAACGCTCCCTTATCAATACCAAAAGACTTGACTCGATGTTATTTCAATATTTCAACACCTTTTCTGAGCAGATCTCTACTTAAAGGCCAACTTTCCATGTTCAGTAGTGCGTCAACGGCGTGTAGTGAAAAGCTCATAACTCTTTTCAGAATAATGCTTCGCAGCTACAAACAACAAATGTGGACTTAGCGTTCCAAGCTGATTCCTATTATATGTGCCGCTCATCAAAATGCCGACCTAAGTTAGGTGCCTTCCCATGTTAGATGGACCGTCTTCACATGGCGTGCGCGCCTCAGCACAAAAGTTTGCATTTGTCCCTGTCCCTCGCTTCAGACATCCACGATCTTCTTGGCTGACGTCGGTGGCTGCGTCCACGAGTTCCAGGTGCAAAAATCGTATTCAGCTGATTTCTCAGCTGGTCCATCCGTTCCACGAACGTCTGCCCATCTCGTTGGCGGTCTTCTTCAAGGACGCTTGGCTTCGCGAGGAGTCCACTCAGATGTTCTTAGTGTTCTTAGTGCTCTCCATCTGTCGTCTGTTCTTCTCATGATATAGTAGGCGGCAAGTACATATGAATGTCTTATGTGAATTGCATATGCGTGATCAAGTATGTTTGTAGGATTTTTTGGACAGAAATCTGATTTTTGGGTATATATAAATTCTTGTAGATTTCTCTCTCAAAACTCCCTTTCATCACATGTTTTACGATTGTTCGAAAACCACCTTATAGAGCTTGATTTGCTCTATCGAATGATATTTTACCATTTTCATACCCTCTCTACCGCGCCAAGATAAAGAACGCTCATTACTTTTGTATCAATCTGAACAAACAAATACGATTTTCCGCTAGCTGACGCACTAAGAAAGGTGTTGATTGTGAACAAAAAGTGAATATACTTGATACATTAGATGGTTTAATCACTGCTTGAAAGCTGATTCAACACCTAATTTTCATGAGAACAATGCAAACACCATTATGCAAAATCGGAACTGCCAATTTTTTCCAAGTGTTGGATGCGGAATAGTAAATCTGGCGAATCTAGATTCGTTTCGAGAACAATAAGATTAACTTAAAAATCTTGTAAACAAAATCAATTTCGTTCTTCTTGTTCCTTGGACAGGCGTCTTTGATAAGAGATAAGAGTTCCAATTTGTTCGGCAATCTCTTCTTCTGCTTCATGAATAGAGCGACTTTGAATAACATGGAACTGAAAAATTTATTATGCATATATAACCTTTGATTTCTACGGAAAGGAGATCTAGTCTTACCTTTTCAGTTTCTTGATCCAGAAAGAGAGAGATTTCGAGCACATAGTATCTGAGTTTTGACAGCACACTATGTACTGTTCGTGTAAAGTGTTGACTGTAAGGAGAGCATGGCTCAAACATTAGTTATACCGCAACCTTAGAATATCACTGCAACATTCATGCTTTACTTGCGCTTTTCTTTGAGATGATTCAGCTTGCTGTTGTTTGCTGGGCAGAAGCAACGTACTACTTCGTGAATGTCCTACATCAGCGAAGGTGTTCGGGATGACAAACGTAACTGCTCTCTGCAGGGATGATTGCTGTCTTTGTTGCTGGATGTGGGGTGGAGAATCTAAACATATTTGAAATAGACTCTTTTTGCAAGGTTTACAGAGTTTGAGAGGATATAAAATGTGAATTTCGTTAAATACTTTGAATATAGATGATTTCGATAATGTCTTGAATAAAATGAAAAATTTATAATCAATATCAAACAAGTAATTAAGTTGCGTGCTTGTCCCACCCTGAATATTGAGTTTTTTTTTACTAAAATCAGTCATCGGAAATCTGCTTCTCCACTTACACACCATTACTGAAGTACCGAAAGACCCAATTGAACACCAACTTTTATGGGAAAGTAGACCACTTTATAGAACAAAGGACTCTCACGTATTGACTTTGCAGAAAAAATTAAGAATTTATGTATGGGATTATTTCATATTGCATTTTCTAACTCACATTCTGGACTATGCCCAAATTAGGAGACAATTTGAATAATTACAATAGCAGCACAAGCCGAGCATTTCGGTAACCGTTGCGTGACTTCTTTTGAGTAAGTTATATCTTCAATAATGCACTGTTTTCTTTTTAGGAAATTACTTCGACCGTCCCCATGGTGAAGTTACTATAGTTCTTATCTAGCACCGTGATGAAAGCGCGATAAGCGGAATTTACTTTTCTTGGAATGTGGGCGCTGCTTCTGTTCGATATACTTCCATATGTACTAGCAGATTGCCCCATAGGGACCACCTATCATCCAGAATTCAATAGGTACTCTTTTCTACAATCACCTCATTGAAGATACTTGCTCCACATCCATTGTTTACGTAAATATTATTTTGAAAGATGTTACCTGTTTGTATCGGAACCGCAGCCTTTTGGACTTGCCGAAGATGAATGCGCTTCCATGAAAGGGCATGTCGTATCAGTTTCTAATGGTTTTGAAAATGCAATGTTGGCTGGTAAATTCACCTCGACTTCAATGTTTTGACAGTATGGAGGATTTGCCTATTTAGAATCAGTTTTGACGCAAAACATTCGAGTGCCATATTTTATCGGGGCAAACAAGTTGCAAGGTAACTGGAGCAATTCCGACGGTTCTCCACTGATATACACTAACTGGGCACCAGGTGAGCAACAGGAGTAATGACCAAAATAGGCATTGTTCATGACAAAATTCATCGAGTTTGATGAAACAAAGCTCCTTGAAGGTCAGCCATCTTCAACGGGGACGTGCGCAGTTGCTTCTGCTCCCAATGGGATTTGGAATACCACTTCTTGCGCAAATGCTTTTCCTTTTATCTGCGCTATACCAGAAAGCGCTCATCCAGCTGTCACATGCCCCACATGTCCCACTCCAACATGCCCTCCTCCTCCAAGTAAGTACATTTAGCATATGGTACCGTCCACCCGAATTTTGGTTATGAGAGTTTGATGCTGCTTGATAGCGAGGCCCTTAAGTAAGTACTCTATAAGTCTCGATGCATAAGATGTATTCCATAGCGAGGAAACCACTCCATTAAGTAGAAGCGGCCAAGCTGGCTCAGTCCATCATCCTGAATGGTCTGAAGATATCTAACAAATCCGAACTTGGGCTTTAGTGTATCCAGAATTGTCATAGATACGCCCTTTTTTTTCTGATATCCCTTGTTACCTACGACTTTTTCGCCTAATCTGAAGACTAATTTCGTACTTGTTTCTCCAGACCACCCACGTGATGGGCGGAGTCAGCCTTCCGCTTTCCCTTCTGGAGCGGTTTTTGCCTTTGATATTCATCTTTTCAGTAAGCTTCGGCGATTGCTTACCTAAGGGTTCACTAATATATAGCATTAATCTCATCAACCTCACTGCATGAGCGGTGCTTTTAAATACTGCTCAATATGACTTTCTACAGGAGAGCCAGGACATTGTGACTCAGAATGGACATACTTTAATGTGACGGATTCGTGCTATAGGGTGCGTCGAGGACGCCGTATATCGTATATTATTGCCTAGTGACTGACGCACAAAAATGGCATCGCCTGAGCAAGATATGAGTGGTTCATCTGTATATTTCAGCGATTCGTTTGGGCAGATTTTGATAACGCCGAGGAGGTCTGCGTAGCCAATGGTGGTCATCTTGCGTCTATTCACAGCTTGCAAGAGAACACCTTTGTGAATGGTTAGTACTCCTAATCAGGAGTTTTCCAATTACTATTGAGAGCGATGCTTGGGAAAATCGGGTTTTGCGGGATTTTGGTGTGAAATACGACAGATACCTCCTTGTCACTCTCGGCACAGAGAAACAAAAGCGAAGGCGCTCTAGCGTCATTAAAGGCAGCGTCCAGGCAAATCTGGACATATGGGGATTTTACAGGGATAGAAATTTTGGGGCCCTAACTGAACCTGCCCAACCAGTAGCGCAGGTTGTGCCCTAACGGCTGAAACATTCCCCTCGAAACTGGATCTCGGGACCGTATTTGCATGGATTCATGGCGCAATTCCGTGGGTCCTCGCGCGAAATTGATGGGTCGCGAAATCAATCGATGCGAATACGATCGCGGGATCCAGTTTCGAGGGGAATATCTCAGCCGTTAGAGCACTACCTGAGCTGCCGGTTGGGCAGTGGCTTGCCAGGACCCCAAAATTACTTCCCACGTAAAATCCCAATAGGTCCAGATTTGCCTGGACGCTGTCTTCAAGGCAGATTATGCTGGCTAAGCGGTCGGGTCACCATTAGCCATCTGCACAAGACCCCGACTGTGCAAAATGTGCAAGGTTACACTTTTTTGATGAAATAGAATAATGGGCCTTTGAGCAAGTATGCCTTAATTTGAAACTAACTGCGAATTTCTCCTTTGGCGTTATTGCTTGCTCCCAAACATGTGGAGCGGACCAATTTCTATTTGCCCGGAACAAAAAAAAGAATCTGCAGTGACCTGGCTGTTCGATACTAAGGGATCGTGTTTTTGTTCGGTCAAACTGCGAAACAGCTTTTCAGTAACTTTTGCGGAGCATCTCCAATGGTGTTAATTTGCCAAAACTCCAATTAATTTACTTTTGAACTTATCTCAGTTTTCCTACTGGATGTAAAATAGTTCTTTATACATAAATAAAGCTGATGAACTAGTTACTCTTAGTCTACGAATTTTTATGATCACATATATGCGACATTGCTTGGTAAAATAAACGCCCATAATCTTACATTTTCAGGCTCTTAACTATATCAAGATATGTTGTAAGTCCTCTTATCTTTGAACCTTGGCATATTCTTGAGGATGAATAATTTCAATTGTTATATTATGCCGTAACAGGTTGTTATAGATGATATACTTTATTACCCGACGTTTCGGCAAGACGCCGTCTTCAGGGGCTGAAAAGGCGTCAATCACATTGATGCACACGATCTCTGCCGCCAAATATCTCCACCGACTTGCCACTCGATTCGTCTTGAGTGAAGGCAGGGAGTTTGAGGGCGAAGGTTCACCCACCAAGTATATCACCGATGTTGTAGCTAACAGCCGCTTCGGGTGTGCTTGGTCGAGTGCGGTGTCAAATGGGCACCCAAGCTACTGCGGGGCTGTTTAAGTAGGGCACACAATCTTATAGTTTACAGTATGACAGATACGGCATTAAGTCACTCGTGATAGATAATTTCTCATTCTTGCTGTTTAGTTTGGGCTCACGAGTAAGAATGTAGGAGCCTTCCAAGGCTTTTCGTGCGGAAATTTGGTGTTCGTGGGCCAGGATTTTGCACCTGATATCGTAATCAACTCCGTTATGTTCGGTCATTCTATGCTTTCCCAGTGGACTAATCATGCTTTGCCTCTTTTTGCTAGCTAGATGTTCACTGATACGCACACCTAGTGGCCGGCCGGTTTCACCGATGTATATGGCAGAGCACTTCGTACACTCAATTTGATATACAACACCAGATTTCGCACAATCTCCGAATTGTCCGTATGGGCACACAACGCAGTTTCTTGTTATACAAGCTTTATCATACAATCTATTGCGTATTAACAGCTTTCTGATGTTGTCTCGCGGGATGTTAACTAAGATGACATCTTTCTCAAGCTGTGCTTGTATCAGACACTGTTTGACTGCAGCAGTGACCCTTTCGGAGATAAAAGGCAAGCATAATGGTACTCTATTGGTAGCTTGTTCGCCTGTCTTTACAGTGTTTCTTTTCGGACATCCGTGTCGCATAACATATCCATTCGAGGCTAATATTTCGGCTGCCAGCTTCAGTGACTCCTGCCTTTCCTCATTACCGCTGCAGATTTGCGTCGCTGTTTTGATCATATTACGTACGACGGCTCGTTTGACAGCTTCTGGATGTGCGGACTTTGCGTGCAAGATAATGTTCTTATTACTGTCTTTACGAAACCACTTCACGTGCACCGTTCCATTGCTCAACATCAGTTGTGTGTTCAAAAACGGTAGCCAACCGTCGCGCGGTTCTTCCCTCGTAAACCTTATGTATCTCGACTGTTGATTTAGTATTCGGAAACATTCGTCCATTTCGGACTTTGTCGACGTGACTATGCAACAGTCGTCGATATAACGACGATACATAAGCGGGGCTCGGGATAGCACCGGTTCTTCTACTTTGCTCATGAAACATATTGCTAACACGGGTGCTAATCGCTGGCCCATTGCCAGTCCTCTTGTTTGTGCGTAATATTTTCCCGACCATTTGAATATATTGCAATCTAAGCATTCCTTGGTGAGAATCATGATGCGGCTTTTACTGAGACCATACGTCAACATATTTTTACAATGTAACTCTAGCATCTCAGATAAAGCTTGTAAGGCTTTGTCATTAGATACAAAGCGAAGCCCCGCTTATGTATCGTCGTTATATCGACGACTGTTGCATAGTCACGTCGACAAAGTCCGAAATGGACGAATGTTTCCGAATACTAAATCAACAGTCGAGATACATAAGGTTTACGAGGGAAGAACCGCGCGACGGTTGGCTACCGTTTTTGAACACACAACTGATGTTGAGCAATGGAACGGTGCACGTGAAGTGGTTTCGTAAAGACAGTGATAAGAACATTATCTTGCACGCAAAGTCCGCACATCCAGAAGCTGTCAAACGAGCCGTCGTACGTAATATGATCAAAACAGCGACGCAAATCTGCAGCGGTAATGAGGAAAGGCAGGAGTCACTGAAGCTGGCAGCCGAAATATTAGCCTCGAATGGATATGTTATGCGACACGGATGTCCGAAAAGAAACACTGTAAAGACAGGCGAACAAGCTACCAATAGAGTACCATTATGCTTGCCTTTTATCTCCGAAAGGGTCACTGCTGCAGTCAAACAGTGTCTGATACAAGCACACCTTGAGAAAGATGTCGTCTTAGTTAACATCCCGCGAGACAACATCAGAAAGCTGTTAATACGCAATAGATTGTATGATAAAGCTTGTATAACAAGAAACTGCGTTGTGTGCCCATACGGACAATTCGGAGATTGTGCGAAATCTGGTGTTGTATATCAAATTGAGTGTACGAAGTGCTCTGCCATATACATCGGTGAAACCGGCCGGCCACTAGGTGTGCGTATCAGTGAACATCTAGCTAGCAAAAAGAGGCAAAGCATGATTAGTCCACTGGGAAAGCATAGAATGACCGAACATAACGGAGTTGATTACGATATCAGGTGCAAAATCCTGGCCCACGAACACCAAATTTCCGCACGAAAAGCCTTGGAAGGCTCCTACATTCTTACTCGTGAGCCCAAACTAAACAGCAAGAATGAGAAATTATCTATCACGAGTGACTTAATGCCGTATCTGTCATACTGTAAACTATAAGATTGTGTGCCCTACTTAAACAGCCCCGCAGTAGCTTGGGTGCCCATTTGACACTGCACTCGACCAAGCACACCCGAAGCGGCTGTTAGCTACAACATCGGTGATATACTTGGTGGGTGAACCTTCGCCCTCAAACTCCCTGCCTTCACTCAAGACGAATCGAGTGGCAAGTCGGTGGAGATATTTGGCGGCAGAGATCGTGTGCATCAATGTGATTGACGCCTTTTCAGCCCCTGAAGACGGCGTCTTGCCGAAACGTCGGGTAATAAAGTATATCATCTATAACAACCTGTTACGGCATAATATAACAATTGAAATTATATCAAGATAGTTATTATTTGCTAACAAATTTGGCTCAGCATTCGACTTAAGGCAGTGTCCGAGCAAAAACTCGATTTCTAGAAAATCCACTTACCGGGTATCCGCAACGCTGAATCCGAAAATCCACATTAGAAGGCGCGAAAACGGCGAAAACATACTTTTTTGAAGACGCACGATTTAAAATTTGAAGGTCTCCACCAAGGCAGAGACGCAGTGTAGCTGCGGGACCCTACATTTTAACTGTGGCTGCATGCGTACTCTGCCGCATAGCAAGAATTCGGACAGCTCGAAGGACCCCGCCCCAAGGCGTAAGTTCCCCCACTTTCCGATCGTTTTTCTTAGGTCGAGCGTCATGACGTCGCACTTACACGATGTTGTGTCTGAGGGGGGCCACTCTTGCATGGCACTGAAATCCCAAAACCCCCATCTTGCCCGGACACTGCCTCTAACAATTTCGCAGACCTATTAAATTCACCATTGTGCAACACGAGATGAGGCATGATTTGTTCTTGTAGCAACGGAAAAGCTTAAGAAGCTAACACACTTTCCTCGTCTCTGTACAGTCGAGCAGAATTGTCGGTAGATATGCCCCTGAAGTAAAGATTGCGTTATTCTTCTCGTGAGCAAATAGCTACTTCTTGTCGGAAAAAGTGCACGAAACACTGGCAATGCAGGCATAGCTATTTACTCACGCACAAAAATCACCGCAAATTTTCGGTGCCGCAAAGGCACTGCTACAGAGCAATATGCTCGTCTGTACTTGCGCTTCACAATAGAATGGGCGGTGGGAGGCGGATGAAGTTCAAGTAAGTACAATCAACACAATTCAGAGGTAGCTGAATCCGGTATGGATTACAGCGACAGTAGTTCTCTAACATGGATAGGGCTAACGCAGGCAAATTACCCCACCAGCGCAACTTGGACATGGACCGATGGATCACCTTATGATTACAAAGACTGGGCTCCAGGTGAGCCGAATGACACCAAGGGGCAGGAGCACTGTGTACAGGTAAGCTCAGACATCATCTTTGGGCATTTACCTTAACCAATGCTGTATTTTAGATACACAGTGACTATGTGGGAAAAGATCCGTCAAAGGACAGTAGTTACCGCCGTTGGAACGAGATCCCTTGCAGCACGAACATGAGATCATATGTGTGCAAGAAAGCAGCTCTGCACTGATCACCGACTGGCTTTCTCAAGAACCGAAATAAATCTTATCATATCAATTTAATTAGATAGAACGCGGATATTGCAAATATAACAACTTTTTAAGCGTGCCCATTCAACAATCGAACTATGAAAAATATAGTTTGGAAGCGCATCACACGGATGTTGGATGTCGTTAATCCTCTTGCGAAAAAGCTCAACAGCTTCAAAGGCAGTGTCCCACCAGACTGGGGGTATCTGGCTCTCGTAATGATGTAATAGTAGACCCCCTACCTAAGCGATGACTGAAGTTCGGAGCGGAAAAGGGGGTCTACCAAGCCTGAAATTTGCTCCGAAAGTGGGCCGAATCTTACGGTAGGATCGGGCGAGTGCGAGGTGCATGCAAGATAGAGACGCAGAGTCGTTGCGGGTCCCTGCGCTCATGATGTGTGCGCTATACGCACCCTGGCCCTGCAAATCGATATTGCCGTGTGGGCGGCGTCGGGCCCACCGTAAGATTCGGCCCACTTTCGGAGCAAATTTAGGCTTGGTAAATCCCCTTTTTCGCTCCGAACTCCAGTCATCGCTCAGGTAGGGGGTCTACTATTACATCATTACGAGAGCCAGGTACCCCCAGTCTGGTGGAACGCTGCCTCTAAGCAGAATTATTGTGAAGGTGCTCCTAAGTCACTTATTTCTGGCTCTTAGGAATAGCATTAGAAACATTTGCTTACTCACACTAAACAATGGTTTGAGACAGATGTTATATTTTGACCAGTGCGTCACCTCTGCTTCGCAGAGGCTCGCACTGGCCATATTTTCTGTATGCCTTACTCATTCCCGCCTAATAATGACATTGAAACTCACCGCGCTATGTAGGCTATCATCTCTCTATATAATAAAGCGCACGGTGTCTCTCTGAAGCATTCCCCCCCCCTCGTGAGATGTCAACAAGTTTGTCGTTGCGTGCCGCTGCAGGGTTCATGACTCATCACTACGCCAGTGATGTCCGACCTAGACGATGTTGATGACCTAACCTCCAAAGTGCAGTCTGCAAAAAGTTAAAAGCTGTAAGGGGTAACATGCCGCTGCAGGTTTACAGGGTTGATGACTCATCATTATGCCAGTGATGTCCGCTCTAGACGATGTTGATGACCTAACCTCCAAAGTGCAGTCTGCAAAAAGTTAAAAGCTGTAAGGGGTAACATGCCGCTGCAGGTTTACAGGGTTGATGACTCATCATTATGCCAGTGATGTCCGCTCTAGACGATGTTGATGAAAACCCTAACCTCCAAAGTGCAATCTCGAAAAAGTTAAAAGCTGTAAGCGGTAACATCGATTGATTCTGTCATCATAATACGACGTCTCTATTTTCGATTGCAGCAGCACCTCTACTCGAGTCATCGGAACAGGTCAGCTATCAGCCCCCCTCATTTAGCATTTTCTAAGAAGAACCTCAGTTTAATGTCCTTCGGTTTTTTGGAATTTTTTAGAAGCAGTTCTCGCTTGGCAGAAGCTTAAACTTAGTCGAAAATTCTTACCGTAATCCTACAGTAAATAAGAGAAATCGGTGATTCGCTCCATACTGTAAATCTAAGTTAAACCCAGCTCTACCATATGACACCCAAAAATCCGCGGAAGATTTTCAAAGGAAGTTATTGAAGAAACGTTCGATACATCTTTTTGGGACACTCTGTATAATTCTTCTATACAAAGTTGCAGTTTAGTCTAAAGTGCTTCTCAAGCGATCACAATCTCATCTCTTTGGGTTTGTTTCCCAAGAGATCGACTTCGTATCAACTCATCACTACCATTCGCTTTCTAAAATACAAAATATTGAGCTGCAATTTTCTGCTACAAAACAATCCAGTTTTGTGATTTTCCTCAACCTTTCCAAAATCAAATCAATCTGTAATTTTCACAATCTCTGCCAATTTCACTTTTACTGATAAAGGCGTTCCTGTTCAAGTTCGGCAACGGCAATTTCCCCTTCGACTTGCTTTTGCTATGACCATCAACAAGGCTCAAGGCCAGAATCGAATGTAGGAATTCATATCGGAACTGAAGTCTTTTCTCATGGGCAGCTCTATGTTAGTCTCTCACGAGCGCGAACAAAAGAAGGTGTAAAGCTCCGGTCAGACTTCACGCGACTTAATCGTCGCGATCTAATCGCCAAGATTTCCATTCATTTTCATTTCACATTCAAAATTTTCGGGCTGGAAAAGTATCACAACCGAATGCAAGTTGATCGGCATGGAATGATGTTGTAATAGTTGTCTCGTCGCGACTCAGTCGCGACGATCAAATCGCGTGAAGTCTGCCCGGGGCCTAAAAGTGCTCAAAAGCGGTACGAGAGTAAGAAACATTGTGATGAAAGCGGTGCTCTAAATTCCTATGACTAATTAAACAGAGGTAATGCGTTCTCATCTTCTTTTTTACATCACACATCGTCGTAACATCCCAACACTCGCCTTTTAGGAATCATACCTTATGCCAATGGCTCAAAATTAGTAATTTTGTTCTTCTAATCTACAATGTGACTGGAGATAATTTGACTCGTATTGCTGTCTTTCCCTTTCAAGAGCTCAATCATTGAAGATCCCACTGCTGAACTTTACTGAGAGATTTGTTTCCATTTGTACATGAATCTTCGTACTGAATGCTTTTTGCCTAATGCCTGGTACTCCATTATAGCGCATATATATCAGAAAACCACATTAAAATCGAAACTTTTCTCCGTGTCTTCGCTCACGCTATCTCACTGTTGTAGACATCAGCAAAGAGTACTGTTTTGTACTAAAACACATAAAATTCAATTATGTGAAGCAGATTACAAGCTCTTCCCGAATCTTGAAAATTATTAATGTTGCAGTCAGATAAATTACAAACCCCTGATTCACTTAAACCATGGTTCATTTTGTCATAAAGCGTTCTCTTCTAAACTATAGCAGAATTCCTTTTCAATAAAATGTGATGAAAATGAAACATCCAATCAAGACAGTACCTCTTAGACATTGCCCACACCCACTTACCAGACCAAAGTGCCGCGAAGCGGCACTTTGGTCTGGTACTATATATAAAGCGCAAGCACCCCCATCTGACTTCATCGCTCGCGCCAGGGGTGTAAACAACCGACCATCGTTTTGTGCCGGTGCGAGCGTACCGAGCTGATGACTCAAAGCGGCAGTGATGCCTGTCTCAGACGATGTTGATCAAGTGGCATAACCCAAAAAGTGCAATCACAATGTTGATCAAGTGGAATAACCCAAGAAGTCACTAGACAAGCTAACTTTCGTATAGTTCGAATTGTTTCTATGTGAGCAACTCAATTTCGGTTTTTCATTCCCAACAAGTGCCGCCGAAATCGTTATTAGCAGATTTATTTTGTCTTACTTCACATTTCAAGCTTCTGTATCCATACTATGGAGTGTTTAATTTGGAGTGCACCGTAAGTTTTTCAAAAAAGTCAGATTTTTCAGAAAAAAAGTCGCAGTCACCAATATCTCATTCCTCGAGCGCCAAATTTGTTTCCTCATTCTAAGACAGTTGCGCCAAATCTTTATTCGATAGAGCTATTCTGCAATATAATTTTTCTGCTAACTTACCTCAGCAAGAAAGTCCAAGTTTTCCAAATTTCTTCATGAAATGCTTCACAAATGTTTTTTTCTCAAACAAACTGCACTAAATCTCTTTTTGGAAATTTCTCGCAAAGATTTCTATTTACTTTGGACAATCTCTGTCTGTGATTTTTTTTCGAATAAGCGCTTCGGTTGAAAGGCCATGTTATTAAGAAAATTGTCAGGAATTTTAGCAAAATAGTTGCAGTCTTTAGTATTTCAACTGTTTTACTTCTCACAATCGTCGAAGCTGATCTGCTCACTCGATAGCAACTTTACTCTGTGTTTCTTTTAGCGGTAATTCAAGCACAGTTTAGATCGCGCAACATTTTGTTGGACCGGGCGTCACGTTGTCTTTCCCTAGAAAACATTGCTGATTCTGTGCAGGAATCAGTGAATGATATGAGCTCTCAAATCGGATGTTTAGCATCTCTGAAATTTGTGGCATGCCATTCAAGAGGTAATCACAAACGTCATTCATTTTGCAGACGTCTACTACTAGACCGTGCCAAAGAGCGCGTTTTAGCCCTCATATTTACTGTGGGCCTCAAATGACTGAAAAACTTAAAAAGCTTTTCATACATTTTGCATATTTTGAAATGTTTTTGTGGGTATTTTTCCCACAGTTAGTGTATGAGATTTCTCCTTTTTCTAATGCACTTTGGAAGCTGTAAACAGTCTATCCGAAATCCTAGCTGTTTATGCGTCATATGTTCTTCAGATGTTAATTTTGCACAACCTCAGAATTGTATAAGTAGCGTAGATTTGCTTAGGTAAGCAGCTAAAAGCATAAACACCTTTGAGCAGGCACCTTCAAGAATTTGAATCAGTAGCTTGCTAACGACTAGCGACCCTGAGGGCCGCTTGCAAATGGGTTCGGGCAATACATTTTAGCCGAATAATTGTCACCACAATTACCTCTGCGTTCTATATCTTGTCACCACAATTACCTCTACGTTCTATACCTTTTCTGAAGTTAGTTCCGAAAAACATGAGATTGATTAACAATGACCTTTGACTCTCTTCCAAAAATCCTCTTTGCTGATTAGACGATATCGTTTGACCTTTTAAAAAATTTCTTTGAGCCAAATTTTTTTCACCATTCTCCATTGGAAGTCACCAAGCAGTCGTTCGAAACAACGATGTAGTCTACAATAACTTATTGTTAGCTAAACACTCAAAAATATACCTTAGTTCCCGACAAATTACGGCAGCGAGAAAAAGCATCTTTTCTCATGCCCTACGTGTCGCCTACAGACCACTTTTTGTGAATGAACACCGCTCCCGTAATGCCTACAGAGCGATATACGTCAGAGCTGTCCTCCTATAGAGTGGTAATCTGAGAAAATACTGCCCTTCGAACCACAAATAATATTATAAGTCTGGGATAAATCTGTCATACACGAACCACAAATAATATTATAAGTCTGGGATAAATCTGTCATACACCC